CAAACATTCCGTAGATTTGGTGAAGAAGCTGGAGGACGCTGATGCAATTGTCCGCTGTGCAGCTTGTGAAGCTTTGGGCAAACTTTCTCCGCATGAGTTGGTCAAACGTTCCATAGATTTGGTGAAGAAGCTGGAGGACGCTGATGCAAATGTCCGCTGTGCAGCTTGTAGAGCTTTGGGCAGCCTTTTGCCGGATGAGTTGGTCAAACGTTCCATAGATTTGGTGAAGAAGCTGAAGGACGCTGATGCAAATGTCCGCTGTGCAGCTTGTAGAGCTTTGGGCAGCCTTTCTCCGGATGAGTTGGTCAAACATTCCGTAGATTTGGTGAAGAAGCTGGAGGACGCTGATGCAAATGTCCGCTGTGCAGCTTGTAGAGCTTTGGGCAAACTTGCTCCGGATGAGTTGGTCAAACATTCCTTAGATTTGGTGAAGAAGCTGGAACACGCTGATGCAAATGTCCGCTGTGCAGCTTGTAGCGCTTTGGGCAGCCTTTCTCCGGATGAGTTGGTCAAACATTCCGTAGATTTGGTGAAGAAGCTGGAGGACGCTGATGCGAATGTCTGCTGTGCAGCTTGCAGAGCTTTGGGCAGCCTTTCTCCGGATGAGTTGGTCAAACATTCCGTAGATTTGGTGAAGAAGCTGGAGGACGCTGATGCAAATGTCCGCTGTGCAGCTTGTGAAGCTTTGGGCAGCCTTTCTCCGGATAAGTTGGTCAAACATTCCGCTGATTTGGTGAAGAAGCTGAAGGACTCTGATGCAGATGTCCGCCAAGCAGCTTGTCGAGCTTTGGGCAACCTTTCTTCAAAGGAGTTGGCCGAGTGCTCCTCGCAGTTGTTGAAGATGCTGGAAGACCCTGATGCATGGGTCCGCAGTGCAGCTTGTGACGCTTTGGGCGGCCTTTCTTCCATTCAGTTGGCAAAGCACTCCTCAGAGCTGGTAAAGAACTTGGCAGAGAAGAAGTTGGATTTGGAGTCTTCCTCGGCTATTTTCAGAGTTCCAATTCAATCCGCACCTAGTCGGGACACCTGGTTGCACATTGCTGCCAAACATGGCAGCTTTGAGGTTTGCCGCGCAGTGCTTCACGGCAGATTCGCCGCACCGGCCCAGCGGAATTATCATAAAAAAAACCGCTAGCGATGTTGCTGCTGCCCATGGACACAAAGAACTGGCTGAAGAGTTGAAACCAAAAGTGCTGGAGACAAGAGGCGGCACGGGCGCGGCATTTGCCAAAGCTTGGGATTGCAAAGACATGGTAACTGAAGTGAGCTGGTGGATGTTGCCTTTGCCCGGCGTTGTAGGTTCTTGTTTTGGAACCGTGCATTCAATGTTGAAGATTCGAGCTGGCGAGAAGTCGTTTCTGATTGAAGGAGCCTTCCCCGAACGGGTTAAGAGGTACGGGGAGACCACGGAGGAAATCAAGCAAGCTGCAAAGAACGGATTGTTTGTGTCAGAGTGGTCGGATGTCGAAAATGCCGATAACCTGCGGGATCTTCATGGGAAGCAGCTATGGGGAGATCACCTTGGCAATGCAATCACCACTCGTGACTTGATTCGCCATTTGCTGAGAAAGGGTCTCTACAACACCGGCAGGAACAACTGCCATCACACAGCCTTCCACGGATATAACTTCTGTGCAGCTACCAAGGAGCAACTCAGAAGTCTTCCCGTCAACTATGCTCAGACCAAGTTAGCGTGGGGCTTGTCCCTAGTCGGAATTGACCTTGCAGGGTCGAGGTCTTGTGGCCAGGCCATCCCTCTTGCATCGCCACTCTATACAGGCATTTCCAGGGACAAGAACTTCACAGGAGACGTCCCACCAACTTGGATAGGTGAAACCCACGATGGGTTTGTTGACGTGGCTCGACACTCTGACGAGTGGCTTGGGATCGAGACGTCCTTGAGAGAGAATGGTGGTGCTGAGATCCCTGACTTTCACATCGAGAGGATTCAACGGAATCAGAACTTGGAGATGCTGAAAGACTTTAGAACTGAATTTCGCAAGGTCCACGGTCAGAGGCAGCTGCAGTTGCTCCATGCTCCAGGTGCAGCCCATGATCTTGTAGCAGAAAGAGGCTTTGCAAAGGCTTATGCCAACATGAACTTCAATGCCTATGGTGCAGGGTTCTACTTCGCTCAAGATCTTCGCCTACCAGACTTCTTTGCCACTGGTCGTGAAAACCATCCAGGGCCGTCTGAAGCCAGACTCGTGCTGCTTTGCTGCGTGGCCGCTGGCAAGTCGGCTATCAAGCAACGTATTTTCCCGTTTGTGCCAGGCGACCCCAAGAGCGGCAGACCTGTAGGCGAGTGGCAGGCAGAGTTGGCCAAACCTGAGAACCGAAAGGCGCCTGATGGCTGTCAAAGCTGCATATCGGACACAAATGATGAGCTGATTGTTTATGAAGCCAACCAAATCTACGTGGAGTACTCCATCCGGTACACGAGCAGTGCATTTGCCGGAAATCCTTATGACAACTTGCGAGGATCTCTCAAAGAGATTCCTCAAGAAACATGATTTTTTGGATTTTGGATCACGCCTTTCAGGGATTTTCCGCCCTCCAAAGGAAGGGCCCTCCCACGGAATCAGCCAGAGATTGACAAGGACTTGTCAAAGAAAGATCCAGCGCTCACTTGTGAACTGCCATTGATGCCGGCTTAGGGAAGTTGATCTCGTGCCGCAGACTCTTTCACAAGTATGTCAGTAGGCAAGATTTGAGCACTTGTTCTTCTTCTGGCAAAGAGGCTTCTTGGTTTCTTTGGTGATTTTGCAAGTGCAGCTTCTCTCTGGGTCAGAGAGCAACTCAACAGCTCTGAATCTCAAGGTCGCTAAAGTCTCATGGCATCACGGACGTTTGTAGAATACAAATTGCCTTCGTCCTCACACCTGGAGATGCATCCGGCACGTTGTAAAGCGAGTTTGGCAACTATGGGTGTGTCAGGAAATTTGGCATTCGACGTGATCCTGATAGACGACGTCACATCATTTGTACGTCGACCTCGTAGGTTTTTCAGCTCCATATGGCGAGCAGGCCGGCCCTGCTTGCGGATTTGCGTTGACGTGCTTCGCCGGACACGTCGAGGCTGGACTGACAGGGCGGTTGGTAGATGTTCTTTGCGATTCATCGACTAGGCTACTTATCTGCGCAAGACTGTTTTCTACCACGATCCTTGCCGGTCTGTTTCCCGGAACCTAGCTGTGTGGCAGGTTTGTCAGCTTTGAACGACACTGGCGTGCTACTTGCTGCTATTGCTAGAGAGTTATTTTTGACATTTGTTTGCAAAATTGATCCATTATGTTGGCTTTCTATACCAACCATGCCTGCGTGACCATTGCTTAGACTTTCGATATTTTCCACTGTGGTGTGATGTTTTTGCCGTTTCACCTGCTGGGAGCGACTTTGCTTTAGGCACTGCTCTCACGTTGGCATATGTTGCCTCACAAAACTCAGTAGCACCGGTATTGCGCCTGACAATGACAGCAGAAACCACTATGAGATGAGTTGGAATGAAGTAATTGCTGACCGGAGTAAGAACACTTGGCACAGGGGGAGTAGAGATTCTGCAATTCCACACAACAGTCAGATCTGGTCGCAAAGGCTGTTCCCGCTGACCAAGTACAACAAGCCACAGATCACCACACCGTCCACACATTCAAAGTGTTTGTTAGTCAACTGGAAGCTGAGTATTTGGGTGATCATTGTTCGAAGAGCTCTACGGAAAGGGTACTATAGGTGTTAGAGGTGCTAAGAGCGAGGGGCAGAGCTTTCCATGCGAGTTGCTCTTGTCGAAAAGCTTACAACGCAAATATCGCAGCTGTTCAATAAAAGTTGTTTTGCCAACTTAACCTAAACAGCCCTCCGACTAGCAGTCCTGTGGCAGGCGCCATCAATATCAGACCAGGCGCCGCGACCTTTTTGATTCTGCCGGTTCATTTCAACATCATTTCTGCTCTCCTCCTTGAATGATGTTCCTGCGTACTCTTTCTTTTCATAGGCTTACTCCCTTGAAACCTCTTCCACCACAGCTCCAATTTCTTTACCTTCAACTCCCCTCAAGCTGGTGATGAGGTCCATGCCTCTTGACCAGTTTGCATCGTTGGCGTTGCTTGCCTTAGTCTGTGCGTGGTAGGCGAATGACTACCGCTCGTGCCTTTGTACCGTCTTTTGAGGCTCAGTCACAAGTGACGTATGTCCTGTCGGTTTCTTTGTCGCGAGCCAAGTTCCGCCGGGCATTGCGGGAGCCAGAATTCTGGCCCAAGCTGCTTTGACCCAATAGCATGTGTCTTTGCGTCTCTCCCTTTACATGTTGTCAAGTTTGTTGATGTGCTTTCTTCTCCAGGCACACCTTTGGATACAATGGGCTAGCGCCGGGATGCCGTCGACCGTCGACCCCTATTTCTTCAGAAAAGGACGTTATACGGGTGTGCGTTTTCCAGTGTTCTCGAAACCGCTTGTTTTAGGGCTTTGCATGTTGAAGGTGTTCAGTCAGACGTTGAGGCTGAGACCTCGTAGTTGTTGGTAGGTGCTCGTTGTCTGCTCGTGAGTATAGTAGTCTTCCTAGTTCACTGGATCTTGGAGGGGGTCGGCCCCCCCCAGAAAAAGTTTTGTTTTGGTGGTATCACTTTTTCTTTGTGTGGGGTTCTTGTTTTTTTCCGGCTGCATCCCGCTTCTTCCGCCTCCTCCTCGCCTCCTCCGCCCACATCAACTTACACACATCAACTCGACACAAAGACTCAAACTACAGACGTCCTCGTGTGGTAGGGTGCACGCCGTCACCTTTTTGGTACCGTAGTGTTTGGCTTAAGCTCCCCCCCTCTACCACCCGGAGCTCCTGGCTCCTGGAAGAAAGGCCATGAAGAGCTGAAACAAGAGGAGGCAAATGGAGAATTGCAATTCTTTCTTTAACAATCCTTGTCCTAAGTCTGCGACCCCCAGCTAGTTCGGAGGTGTGGCTCACTTCTGAGGGCGCTGTTTGAGAAATACCATGTACCCAGGGCGTGGCCGGGTATGTGGGTCTACCTTCATCAAAGGTTTGTGAACCTGAAGGAGGGACAGGGTTGTTTCTGTTGAGTTCTTTTTGTTTTGACAATTCTTGCTGCGAAGTGGACAAAAAATTAGGTGTTGTGCATCCTTATATATTTACACACACATATCCTCAGGTGAAGACTATATGTGAGAAGAACAAGCAAACAAGAACATCATTCAATAATCTGCAGAAATCTTAAGAAATCTTAAGATTTCCCTGGAACCAAGAAACCAAGAACCAAGATTGCTCAGAAGTCTTGGGGATAATCTTTGTTCTCAGTTCCAAGAAAACCTTCTCACCAGAACCAAGAGTTTGCCCGAGACTTCTGTGCAATCTTGGTTCTTGGTGTCTTGGTTCCAGGAAAATCTTAAGATTTCTTAAGATGTTGCAGATTTCGGAAGACTTTCGTCACACCACATCATTTGCATCCTTTGTTCACAGCTACCAGGGGTCCGGAAGGACATTCTTTACAAATGCAATTTTGGATGAATGTAGGACTTTTGTCCCATCAGGTTGTTTTGATAAAAACATTGTAGGACTATAGTCCCAGCATAATATTTTGATAAAAGCATTGATACAACAAAACTGATGGAGATTTGCAGGACTAAAGTCTTTACATTGGCATTTGCACAGATTAAATTCATACCGGTTTTTCAATAGTTGGACACATTACAGTGATACATTGACGTTGGCAAATTATCTAGTTTTACATTGTATACAGTGGAAGTGAAGGCATCAAATGTTTACTCAATAAGAGATATAATTTGATATATGGAAAGCTTTCAAGATAACTATTGCAAGCAAACAATGAAACATCTTTTGTTATAAGGTTCCTTCATGCATTCATTCATAAGGTCATTTGTGACCAGCTTGTTAATGAACTATGGGAAACCGATCTTACTAAAGATGACAAAAAGACTAGGAAACATCACCATTGGCTATACAAATCACGCAACGCCGCGCAGAAGAGATGCTGTTTTAACACTTTGAGGGAGGCACGCCGTTGCCAGAGTGAGTTTGGAGGAAGGATTTATGCCATACAAGAAGAATAAATAGAAAAAAAAGAAGAAACACACATGCAATACCTATTACATCTTAAACACAACCAATAGAAATATATTAGTCAATGGGCTTAGAGATATAAAAAGGGTTGCTACTTCAATATCATAACTTTTCAATGTATGAAGCAAAAAAACTTTCAGAACATGATATTGAGGCCTATTCAGAGAAGAGTGATGCCTTCACGACCCATGAAGACGATTTGACTTGAGCGATGGGCAAACCAAATCATTTTATACAACCATATCAAACTGGAATATTGATATGATATGATCAATTGTCATTCACGCAAATAGTTCTGTCAATTTATGTGTTACCCTGTGATATTCACAATTATAAAGCATGCAGGTCAATGTTCCTGTTGCGCAAGCCCGATGTTTGTGACTGTCACAAATATACAATTTTAGGTTCCAAATTTGAGTTGTTTAAATGTAATGTCACCGTGTAACAAAATACTAACAACTCATATAATCAGTTGTATTCATCAATTATCATGCGTGCATTTGCACTGGGTGCAACTGACAGTATGAATTGGAGTGTTGATATATAATATTGTTCATTGTCATGTACACAATTTCTTGTCAATTGGTATGTTTCTTTTTGTGGGGTCTTCACACTTGTGCACCATGAGATTCATACTTTGAATTGCAAGTCCAATGTAACAAGTTGAGTTGACAATTGTGAAATTCACATGATCAATTATATCATTACTGTATTTGCAATTGCAAATTGCATTATATAGATACTACTAACAAAATGAATTGGAATCTATCGCAAAAGGTGTGTATTGGTGCGGGGGGGTAGCATATATATATATACATACACGTATTTTATTGTGTTCTTTTGTGTTCATTGAACCAAGGACCAAAGGATCCACATTGTGCATCGTTTTTACTTCAATTGGCCGCTGCAGTCAGGAGCCACGATGCTTCACCGGCCAGGACCCATTCATTTTGGGTTTTCTTCGCCCCCTTCAAGTTACAGAGGTGTTTGTGAACCAAAGGACCCGAGGAGTATTAGAATGATGATGTGTGGGCCTTTGCAACGTTGGATGCAACGTTGGATTTAAAATTTAGTTGCTCGTGACCTGCAGTTCTAGCGCCAGACCACATTGGTGCCGAGGTTCGTGGTTTTTCTATCACTGCCAAAGGTCCTTGGACATTTCGTGCGTTCCTCGCTCAGGCAAGGCGGCAAGAGTCTTTTTGAATCGATCAGGTAACGTGTAAGTCAGGTTTACACTTCCATGCGGTCCATGCAGAGAGTCAATAATGAGGAGACGTGCCTAAAGAGCCTAACATTTTGGTGCATCAGGCCAGCAGGTTCGAAAACTTGTGGAGAGGTGCTAACTCAGCTGGCGCGCTGATGTTCTTGCGTTGCAGCCTCATTGCAGGCTTCCCAGTGGTATGACTTCTATTGTTTTACAGAGAGAGAAGAGTGTCTCGAGCATTGATCGGGGTTTGCGGGAAGCAGCGCAAGAAATGTCATTGAAGCGTGTTCTACGCCGCATCGGCTGGCCAATTCCCATCTCGCCAGTACCCCCAGGACTGGTCTTCGCGTGATTCTGTCGGAAGCAACGTCCTTGTCCTCTGGGTGGACTTCTCCTTTCGAGGAAGTCAAGGCTTCCCAAAACTTCTGAAAAACCAAAGCCATCAGCAAGTGCTTGTCTGATGAACAGGCTGGTTGGCGTCGTCATACTCGTCCGTCCAGCTCATGGCCTGTGACCCGGACTGGTCGGACTGATGGCCTTTCAGTCGGGTCTTGGCCAAACTGTGCTGCGTCGCTCGGATCAAAATCCGAACGAAGGTCTTTGGGGCGACCGGTGCGGAAGAAGGCCAGCTGCTGCAGCGGGTCTGGTGCGCAAGGTATGCAATCCTGGTGCGAACTCTCGCAGCAGTCTCAACGTGTTTTGCTGGCCTGATTCGACTCCTGTTACATTTTGTGCTTTGTTCAAGTCATGAGAGATGCAGAGAGAATATTAGAAACCAACGTCATTGGCTTGGCATGGCTTGGCTATAAACAAAAGGACCAAGCATGAAACTCCAAGACAAGAACAAAGCTGCCACATGTCTTGGCACTAGCTTATGCCACGACGCCAGACAGAGAGAGAGGGGAGAGAGAGAGAGAGAGCCCAATAGATCCCTGCACCGCCAAGCGTGTTTCCTTGGGGTGACAATCAGTTTGCCTGGTCTCAGCCGGGAAGAAGGAGGGGCTTTTCAAAAGGCCATCCCAATGTGAGTAATTAATTAGGATGTTTGCCAGAGTAGAACGAGTGGAGCCCTTCTGAATTCTAGCGCCATTGGGGTGAAGACTCACTGATTCCCCAAATGTGGGGCCGCGCATGCAACGTACGCCATGTGCCGCGCATTTGGACGTATGTGCGCAATGGGATATACAACAACAGACCAAAAAAACAATGTTTCATCACTTTGGAAACGGCAAAGCTTTGTCTTTCTGCAATGTGATGTGACATCTGGCAATGTGGTGTACCGATGGCACTGGACTTGTTCCAGCTGGTGTTGGTCTGCAGGACCGGACCTTTCAGACCTCTTGACTTGGTTTGTACGTGACCGGAGCAGTTTGGTTTGCAGATCTCGTCTCATTGACGTGAAGAGTGAAGTCTCGATGATGTGATGTGCAGATGTCATTCATCTCTCATTGCTTCTTCTCGAGTCTCATGATGTCACTTTGTTTCTTCGGCAAGTTGGGCAGTGCGCACGTAGTGACCAAGTGCATGCAACGAGGATTGGGGTTGATACCATGGGTCCAAGCTTTCATGCCAACCACGTATCTTGCCTTCTGATCGATTTGTGATTCCGTTGCCCAGGTGATGCAGCAACACGAGATCCGGATTTTACCAAGAGGACTGGAGCTAAGAGACTACTAAGAGATGCGTTTTCTTGAAATGGTGTTCTGATCTTTTCATTGTTCCATTTTTGCCTAGGGCATCTCGATGAGAGATCCGCACTTGAGTCGTGACTCAGCAGCCGACTATTGAGCAGGTTGTCTAAAAAGTATCAAGACTCTTCACATTTCTTCATATATGTAGAGCCCATAGTTGCCAGGTGGTCTGCCACGTCAGACCGTTTTCTGTTTAATTCGAGTGGCAAGTTGAAGTCGCTTTTCAACATGGCAACCAATGAGGCAGGTTCTCTACAGCAACAAGACCCACGGTACGCTCATGTCAGATGTTGACCGTGCTGCGCATGAGTTCGTTTGTTTGGGCGACCTCGGTGAGGATGTGGGAGAAGGCGATCCATGCACTTCCAGTCGTTCGTTTTGATCACGTAAACGCGACGCAGAGGTTGCATGAGGGGTACACACAGTTGCCGACAGTTGCCTGTTCTGTTGTTTTCCTCCAGAGTCCATAAATCTTAAAACAGTTCTGCCAGATCGACCACATCCAACTGTTTGTCATTTGTTCCTCTCAAGAGTGTAGTCTCCGTAAGTCCGCGTCTGAAACTTTCCGGGATGGCTGCCTGGATATAAGTCGCTCCCGGTCCTGATTGCAGAGACCAGAGCAGTTGAGCCATGGCGCTAGAACAGGCAGTTAGGATTGAGCGCAAGGACGATGAGGACAATGAAGAACGGCGAAGAGGAAGAAGAGATGCGGCTTTGGAACAAGTGCGAAAAGGACAGGAGAAAGTCAACGTCCCGAATGCACAGTATGCAAACCTCGAGGGTGACCCTCTAGAAGCACCAGTGGTCGAAGTGTACCGAACTCAGTTTTTCGACCACAGTGGAAAGAAACGAGATTTGCCAAATTGGTTGCAGAAGTACGCAGAACGAAGTCTTTTGGAGCAGCCCACACCAGGCCGGCCCTGGCCTCTTTTGGATTTTGAAGGAAAAGACATCAACTGTGGCACTGGAGACGTTATGGACCCCAACCATTCTGAAATCTGCAGTGAGAGAGATTGTGAATCAGATGAAGATTTGCCACTGTGTGCATGTACACACCACTCAGATGAAGCAGACAAGTCGCAAGACGCTGGAAGCGACTGGATGTACACGCGGGTTTTTGCATATCGAAATCATGTCCTCCACTTGATGAAGGCGGATGCTTCAACAGCGATGTATAGCACCGAATTGTTTAGTTCGGTCAACTTCATCCTCGAGGTTGCAAGGTCGGACAGGCCCACTTTGATCTTTTATATTTTTACTGCCTGCTTCATTGCAGTGAACTTGACGAGCTTCGTATTTGCCTTGGTGCTGGCTGATGCAGAGATGAACAGACAAATCGACGAAAGTGACTTGAACAAGCCGTACAAGAAGAATGAGGTCGGTGCTGTGAAAAACAGTTGGACGTGGATTGAGACGACTTTCTGGCTGATGCTCTCATACTTGGTCCTCAAGCCCAGGACCCTGGTTGACATAATCCCCAGGATCCATCCACGTGGCAATTGCCCAGGGAAAGGAGCAGCCAAACTGTTTGGAAGTCGCCTCTTCTATGCGACTTTCCTTTCGGAAGCACACTTCGAGGCAGACGATCATGAAGGTCTCGAGTGCATGATGCCCCTCCTGTTCCTGAAGAGTGGCTTTGAGCTGCTGATGCAGCTGATTATCCTCTCAGTAACACCAAGGTTTGATTTATCCTACGTCTTGCTTCTTCAGGTTGCTGTGAAAGTCGCTTCGTTCTTTTGGCAACTCCGGCGATGGTACAAGCTCTTGATCATTCGAAAGAGCCTTTTTGCGCAGGCATCAGGAATCTGGCTTGAAAACTGGGCAACTTCAAGTAATCGACTTCCTAAGACATTGCAGGAAGAACAGTGGAACTACAAGCGAAAGCTTTGGGAGCATGTCTTCCACAAGCATTTTCCGCATGTCTTGGGCAAAGATCTCAAGACATGCTGGCCCAGTCTCCGTTGTGCTCCGGGGCCCGTTACAGCATGTTGCCTCCTTCTGGTGTTGATCGTGAATACACTCTCGGCAGTCGCCATGATCTATTTCGCGCACTTCGCAGATCACAAAGATGAGACCCACCAGGATTTCCAGGATCTTCTGCACTGAGGGTTGAAGGGGCTGCAGTGTAGCTGCATTGCCTCAACGGCCCCTTGGATTGCCGAATTACGCCATGCCCGATCGAGTTGAGAAAACGGCAGTCCTTTTTTGCAACTTCTTTCAAGCGAAAGTTGGAACTCTTGAGCTGTGCACAGCATAAAAAGCTGCACCGTCTCATTTTCTGGTTCTCATTTTGCTCGAGAGGCCTGCTTCCAAGCGCCAGGTGTCTTACTCAGCGGTTGTCTCTTTCGGTTTTGCAGCTGAGTTGAGTTTTTTAGTTTCCATATCCCTGTGTGCAATTTCTCTAGAAAATGGGTGGCCTCAAGGCCACTAGAAGATAGTTTTTTTTTGTTCTAGTAACCTAATCCGTCTTTTTCCACTCATTTTCTCTAAACTGTTTTTTACATTGATTTAGTCATTGATCTTCTAGGAAAAGGGGGGGTTATGCATGGCAATTTTTAGTAAGATACATTGATAAGCTAGATCGCCACAGTTGCCATTTTCTAGTGAGATGATGGCGCATGAAAACGAAGACTATTTGTGGCTCAAATCCCCCCCAGCATTTTCTAGTGGATGAGATACGATGAGAACACTCTACTGAGAAGCTTTTGTTCGCTCATTCACTGGAGAATGGGTGGACCCGACCCCACCTAGATTTACTGGAAATCTGATGGCCCCAACCTCCAAGTAACAGTTTTCCTTGAATCCCATGAGCCCACTACTAGTAAATGAACGACCTGACCCTCAAGGTACATTGTCCGATTTTATGACGGAGGTTATGTCAGGCATTTTCTAGTGGCAATTTTCATAAGTTTTTTTTTGAATCTGTAGCCCATCATTTTCTAGCTGGATGTCTACCCATTCTTTAGTGCTCCATTCCATGTCCCCCCGTTTCTGTGCTAGAAAATGGGGGGGCCCATACAGTGTGCAGAACTCGAACTCAAACTTAACTGACAGAATTGGTTTAAGGGGAATCTACAGGAACCATGGGTTTCACCTCCAAAACTAGATATTTCCTTATATATATATATATATATCAATTCTAGGATAAACCTGAACCAGGAAGACTTCTCTTTCATTATAATTCCCCCGTCTCTAAAGAACTCACCTCCTTCCCCACAGCTCGGGAAAAACCATGAATCTTAACTTCGCAGCATTCTCACTGGACCACTCTGTTAGCGTGAACTCATCCAGAACTCGAAGCCAAGGGAACTCGTGCTGTTTGCTTCAGCTCCTTCCTTCCTACCAGCTTGGTCGAAGGAACTCTTCTCTCAGCTTGGCATCAATTCCAAGAAGGTTGGGAACTTCCGTGGCGGCCTTGGCGGCCTTGGCCAAGCACTTTTGCTCGTTTGCCCAAAGGAGCACTTTTTCTGGTTTTCTTTGCCGTCTGAGAGTCGCTGGTTAGGTTTGAAGACCCCTCCAGTTGCTACCTGAGTGTTTGGCACTTACGATAGCTTTGAAGATCTTGAAAGGGTGTGAATTTCATAAAGAGCCCTTTTCACTAAGTTCCGTGTTGCGCGAAAGCCGTTGAGCAGGTTTCACAGGCAAACACCTATGAGGCCTAGCAGCTTAGCATGCGCAGGTAATTCCCATGCTCCATGCATTAAGACGACTGCAAAATCCAAGGGAAGCACATTCTGCACATTCATACAAGGGCTGAAGTGCACACACACACACACCTTTGTTTGAGGCTGTTTGAGGGCTTCGACCTGAAATTCCAATGACGACTTGTCTTGACCTGATGTAAACCACGCTGCTTGGCCTGTTGAAGGTGTAAACCCTCTCCATGTCTTGATACGTTTTTTGCGCCACTGGAAGAATAGACGGCAGCATGCAGCGTCGCAAGGGAGCCGTAGACTCAGGGTTTGAATATCGGTCTCAAGATTTGACTCGACAACCGTTTGCAGCCGCAAAGAAATCGCACGAAAACGAACATGGTACAACATGATACAACATTATTTGGAGAAGTTGGGCAAAGTTGTAACCTAGTGCCCAAGCAAAGAAGTAAGGCATACGCTGAGTTGAGGCTTTGTGTCATATTGCAGCATCAGGCATCCTCAAGAAGCAGGAAACCTCCGGTTCGTTTCGGTTCGTTTCGGTTCCTTGAAACTGGAATGATGGGCGGTTCGGTTCGCAAATACAAACGGTTCGTTTCGGTTTTCGTGAGAATCGGTTCGGTTCGGTTCGGTTCCTTCTTTTTAATATACAACAGAAGGCGGCGTTTAAAGCAAAGGGTTTGGCAGATCACAGCACAGTCTCCGGAGTTTCCATAAACTGAGACCCATGGGGTTCCTTTTGGGTGAATTCAAAAACGACCTAAAGTGATTTTCGGTTTCTCAAAATCGTTTTTGGCATAGTGTGGACGATTGCCACTTCGAAATCATGTTTGGACTGGTCGAAACCGTTTGCAACCGCGCAACGCGGCCAATCTGAGTTTTGGTCGTGCCAATTTAAAATTTGGGGTGACGGGAAGATTGGCCGCAAAATGAAACCATGACCCCGGTTCCCAAAAAGCCGATACGATTGAATGCACCATGCTTCGCCCATCATACAGATTTCTGAATGCAAACTGTAAAAGCTGCAAGGTACATTGGGACCCCAAAAACGATTTCTAGGCAACAAAATTCTTTTTTGGTGGACCGCTGAATGTAATATTCAATACATGATTGAAAATGGTTTTCACTTGGCAAAAATCATTTTTAGACAGGTTTTATTGTGCGTTGCCTGAGTACAGCAATGAATTGACATTCCGATCATCGATTCCTCAAAATCTAGATACTTTCAGAAAGAAACCTTCCTGTCGTCATGGTTTCAAGCTGTGAAATCCTCGCTTGGAAAGCTTGGTTGTGACACCTGACGAGAAACGCTGTGCTTGAAAAGGTGGCCTGTGAATGTTTGCAAACACAGAAGCTAAACACACACAATAATCGAAGCAGAATGTTCCAACCAAATATAGATAGATAGCATTGCGGTTCGTAACGGTTCCTTGAGGCAAAAATAAACGGTTCGGTTCGGTTCGGTTTGACAGAAACTGCTTTTCAGTCCGGTTCGGTTCGTGTCGGTTCCATTGAAGCTGGTACCTTTCCGGTTCGGTTCGCGGTTCGCGGTTCGGTTCCTACGGCTTACTGAAGAAGCTTGCAGCAGACAAGGGTGGTGAAAGCCTCAGATAGTTCAAAGTTGGCAGTTAAACACATCTATTGAGAAACACTACAATCTTCTGAGTCAAAGTGCTCTGAAAATGGCCGGGCATGAAGTCCTGGCACAAATACAGGAAGGTTCACAGGCGCTGCTTCTTCTGTGAACGGAGACATGTCCGCTGGGCCAAGGTATTTGAGGCCATCGATTGTGCAGAAGGGGGGAACGGGGAGATGTCGGGACTCCCTCAGATGGCGGCTCTTTTGAATGGGCCGATGTCTCAGATGACGAATTCGCAAAGACTTCTTAAGATGGAATCTCGTTGATGTTTGTGTGGAGACAAGGCTCAAGCTTTGAGTCCAATGGTCAATTACATGATTTCAGCACGGTGTCTTGCAGTTTTGATGTTGTTCAGAAGCTCAGATCCCAAGGCTTAGACGAAGTATCAGGCCACCGGCGGCCACCAAATCCAAACTTCCTGCTCGTATACCTGCTCAGTGGTGGCCACACAGACGGCATCGTATCGCCCAGAATTTGGGCCACCATCAGCCGCATTTGAGGAGTGACTTTGATGTTCTGAGCGTACTTTTTTTGTTGAGTTTGTTTCCCCAAACAGTGTGGACACACTAGGGGTTCTTACGGTAGTAGAAAAGCAGCTGTTGCTTAGATCGCTGAAGCGGGCGGGGGTGTCCGGCTAATTCGCTGCTATTTACAGTACATTCATGCCTCTCAAAATCATCGAAGTGCATTTCGACTGCGCAGGCTCGCTGAATCTGGGTGTCTGCAGCGGGTGCTTCTAACGACTGCGCTCTCGTTGTGGTGCCGTGCGCATTTTCGCACACGGTGGTCACTTTTCGTGGCAGGCGCAGGGGAAACCTCGTGTTTTGGTGCTCCAAAGTCGACTTTTCATGACAGACGCAAGGGATCGGAGCTGTTTTACTTCGAAGTGCAGTTTTCGCGGCAGGCGCAGCACTTTGGACATGGTGGTGATCGTCGAGGAGCTCAGATTTCGTGACAGGTGCAGTGCAATTGTGACTTTTGGGCATGTGGCTCGAGTGCAGATATCGTGGCAGGCACAGCACTTGGTGAACCTCGAAGTGCAGACTTCGGAGCTGGCACAGCACTTGGTGAACCTCGAAGAGCAGATTTCGTGGCAGGCGCAGTACTTTGTGAACCTCTTTCGGTCACTCTCTTTCTCACTCTCACACTCACTCACTCCCCCACTCTCCCTCTCCCTCTCCCTCTCACTCTCTTTCTCACTCTCACACTCACTCGCTCACTCGCTCACCCACTCACCCACTCACCCACTCACCCACCCACTCACTCACCTCACCTCACCTCACCTCACCTCACCTCACCTCACCTCACCTCACCTCACCTCACCTCACCTCACCTCACCTCACTCACTCCACTCCACTCCACTCCACTCCACTCCACTCCACTCCACTCCACTCCACTCCACTCCA